TTATGGAATGGCCCCAACCGATTTGTTTATTTTATATTCGGTGATTATCGGGACCCGTCAAATCATGTATGCTGAAATGACGTGGACGAGCCTCAACCCCAACCAAAGCATGCGTAGGGTTTGGATAGATTACGGGGTATCGACGAGACCGAGTGTCGTAATGTTTTACATCGGTACAAAAAGATTAATAAAACCGAACATCGGTACCGAATTGCTGTTCGGGTTTCAAAAGTGAAAGTTTTTTAACTTTCATTACATCAAAAGAGTAACTTCGTCCCCTTGGTGAAGCAAAAGGAAGGTCCGTTCAAAAGGAGAATCGGCTATCCGACTTTGGACCGTTCATTGATAGAACTTCTTTAGGAAAACGGCATTCCAAGGATATTGATGTGGAGTTCCATTAGGATGAGCTATTCGATATGCTCCATGGGGCAAAACCTCGATGATTTGATAAGGTCCTTCCCACTTCGGTTTAAGTGGGCCGGGGTCAGGCCCCATTACGCGCTTGAGAACTAGATAACCAACTCGGAATGAACGTGGCTTGAATTTGGAATTGACGTACCATTCCCTCTTATGTTTATAAGCGGCATTTTTGAGTTCGGCTCGGGTGCGATGTTCTTCAAGCAGGTCCAGATTAGCTTTCAGGTTATCCGAGTTGGACTCTTCGGTGAAATGTTGAATTCGGTAAGTCGGTTCACCGAGTTCGACTGGTATCACAGCTTCCGAGCCGTAAGTTAGCGAGAACGAAGTTTCGCCAGTGGACGTCCTGGTAGTTGTTCGATAAGCCCACAGAACGTTTGGCAACTCTTCAGGCCAAGCTCCTTTCGCAGCATCAAGTCAGACTTTAAGGCCGTTATTTATGAGCTTATTGACAGCTTCGACTTGGCCGTTGGATTGGGGATGATAGGGCGAAGAGAAGAAGTGTTTAATGTTATATTCTTCGCAAAGAGATTCAAGCCGCTTGCCTTCGAATTGTCGACCGTTGTCGGTGATAATGGAATTCGGTACTCCGAAGCGGCAAATGATGGACTTCCATACGAAGTCCACAACTTTTTGTTCAATTATCGTGGCCAATGGTTCGGCTTTAGCCCATTTGGTGAAATAATCAACCGCTACAATAGCAAATCGGACGCCTCCTTTTCCGGTCGGTACGGGTCCTATAAGATCAATCCCCCATTTGGCGAAGGGCCATGGACTGTAAATTGATTTGTGCTCTTCGGGAGATTGATGAATGTTGGGTGCAAATACTTGGCACTTCGGACACTTCCGGACCCAGGCAGTGGCATCGGTTTTTAGCGTAGGCCAATAGTATCCTTGCCGCAGGATCTTGTAGGATAAGGCTTGTGCACCGGGGTGACTTCCACAGATTCCTTCATGCACTTCTTCGAGAACATATTGTGACTCAGATTCGGTCAAACATTTTAAGAGCGGGACTGAATACCCTCTTTTGAACAATGTTCCGTTGTCCAAAGTGTACCGAGCTGCTCGAATCCGAAGTGCCTGAGCTTCTTTGGGGTCCAAAGGTAAGGCCCAGTTTCCAAATATCAAATAATGGGATCCATCCAAGTCGGTGGTTTTTGCGACATCATCGGTTCAATGGTCGCGACTTCGGAAAGGAGGGTAGACAGTTGTTCTTGCTGTCCGACCTGGACATACTCCATACTCTCTATCCCGGTACTAGAAGCTAGTCGGGGTAAGGCGTCTGCTTGAACATTAAGAGTTCGGGGAATGTGTTCAACGTCAGCGGAGAATTTTGATAATTTTCGCTTTGCCAAGGATAGATACGGTGTCAACCGAGGTTCTTTGACTTCATACGAACCGTTGATCTGGTTGACAAGAAGTTGGGAGTCTGAAAAGACTTTGAGGTGTTTTACGTTCATAGATTCAGCCAAACTCAATCCGGATAGCAAGGCTTCGTATTCGGCTTCATTGTTGGTTGCAGGGAAGAGAAATTTCATCGAATGACAGAATAATCTATTTTTCGGATTTACCAGGACTATTCCCCCACCTGCTCGGTTTGCTGTTGAAGAGTCGTCGATGTAAAGAACCCATGGTTGGTTGTCATCATGAACTTCTATAACTGGGGTAAACTCAACGATGAAATCGGATAGGGCTTGTGCCTTGATCGCGGTCCTCGGTTGGTAGTGGATGTCGAATTGTCCGAGTTCAATTGCCCATTTTATCATGCGTCCCAAAGTGTCAGGTCGATGCAGGACTTGTCGCAGCGGATATGAAGTGCGGATAGTTATGGAATGTTCTTAGAAATAAGGTCGCAATTTCCGAGCGGCAATAACAAGTGCAAACGCCAACTTCTCCATAGGGGGGTAGCGCAGTTCGGCGTCATGTAGGGCTTTGCTGACGTAATAAATGGGTGACTGTAACATCCCTACTTCACGTATCAGGACGGCGCTAATCGTTGTATCACTAACTCCGAGGTACAAGAACAACATCTCCTCGGGTTTCGGTTTCTATAACATCGGAGGGGAAGTACGAGCTTCTTTAATGCTGATGAGCGCTCTTTGACACTCTTCGGTCCACTCAAAGCGCTTTCTTTTTTTAATCGCTTCAAAAAACGATTTGCAACGGTTTGTAGACTTGGAGATGAACCGATTAAGAGCTGCAAGTCGGCCAGTTAGGGCTTGAACACCCTTGACCGAGGTCGGGGGAGTTAGATCTTGGATGGCTTTTATCTTGACCGGGTTGGCTTCGATTCCTCGTTGGCTGACCATATAGCCTAGAAATTTTCCAGACTCAACTCCGAAGGTGCACTTCTTGGGATTTAAAACCATGGAATAAGATCGGAGGATATTGAACATGTCCTGAAGATGTATTATATGATCAGAAGCGTATACCGATTTGACGAGCATGTCATCTACATAGACTTCCATGGTGTGACCTATCAAATTGGTAAACATCTTGTTGACTAGACGCTGATAAGTGGCCCCAGCGTTTTTTAATCCAAATGGCATCATGGTGTAACAATACAAGCCCCGTGCCGAATAAAATGAAGTGTGTTCTGAATCCTCAGGATCCATAGGAATTTGGTTATAACCGGAGTAGGCATCCATAAAGCTCATCAACTCGTGTCCCGATGTGGCATCAACCATATAATCTATATGCGGGAGCGGATAATTGTCTTTCGGGCATGCTTTGTTTAAATCGGAAAAATCGATACATAACCTCCACAGGCCATTGCTTTTCTTGACGAGGACGGGCTTTGAGACCCATGTTGGATACGTGGCTTCTTTAATGAATTTGTTGTCGATGAGTTTCTTGACTTCCTCTTCCAACGCTTTCTGTCGATCCGGTCCCAATTTTCTTCTTTTTTGAACGATTGGTCGGACAGTTCGATCAAGGTTCAACTTATGGCTAGCGACGCCGGGGTCGATGCCCTTCATGTCTTCATGTTTCCAAGTAAAAACATCAGAATTATTTCTGAGGAACGAGGCGAGTTCAGACCGGAGAGGTTCTTGTAAACGGCTCCCAATACGCAGTGATTTCTGACGTGTCGGCTCGTCAACATAAATTATCTCCACGTCTTCTCTGGGTTCAGCTCAATCATTTCTGCTTTTTTCTTTGAACTGAGCCCTTGGGTCCAATTCGTCTTCTTCAAGGATTGGTTCTTTTCTGGGTCTTCGGCCTCGGTCTTCAGCCAGAGGATCGGAGGTTAAGGGGGTAGTGACCTCTCGACTGAGTTCCTCGCAAGGTGTATCGCTCGAAGTGGCTGATGGCAAAGAATTCCCTTCGGTAACCGAAGTAATAGAATGGACTCCGGCGGATGGTATGAAAGTGATAAGTTCTTGAGCTTCTCGTTGATCTCCGTAATGTGTTCCTTCGCTGCGTGTCGTTGGGAATTTAAGGGCGTAGTGAAAGATGGAAGCTGCAGCTCGGAGTTTGTACAAAGCGGTTCTTCAGATGATCGCATTGTACTCATTGTTGATGTCAAGAATTTTAAAAGTCTCCATAACAAGCTTGGTAACGTGTTCAGTTGTACCAAACCGGACAGGTAAAGTAATCTCGCCGATGGGTCTTGAAATGCTACCGTTAAACCCTTGTATTTGGTCGTTGCAAGGTCGGATGTCGGCGGGATCAAGACCCATTTTGTCAAAAGCTTTTAACATCAAAATGCTCGAGTAGGCCCCGGTATCGACCATCACGCGATGTACTGGGATTCCACATATAGGGACGGTAATAACAAGTGCGTCAGAGTGAGGGTGTGCAAAATGATTCGCATCCTCCATATTAAAAGTTATGGGGCAGTTCCAGTTATTGAGGATATCTCTCAAATCGGTGGTGTACACTTGTCTGCCGGAATTATAAGCTTGCCGGGCGTAAGCCTTGATTTGCCGACGAGATAAAGTACTTCAGGAATTATTCGTATTTACTCGATGAACGGTAATTTGCATTGGACTAGGAGATCGGCTTCGTTTGCGTCCTCGAGAGTTTCCTGTTGGATCAGTGTTAGACATTTCTGAGGTGAACACGAACACTTCTTTGTCTCCTTGCCGAATGCGCTTCGGCATAGCACCTCGGTCTTCATCTTCATCCTCATCATAAGGTTCAATTTGACGTCCCGACCCCTGTTTTTGTGGATCAATCTTGCGATAAAATTTCCTGAGTTGTGGATGACCGATTAAATGCAATAGGGCGGCCAACAGAGTCAAACATTCATCAGTGTTGTGCCCCGGTGATTTGTGATAGTCACAATATCGGGATTTGTCCAGCTTTTCCTCGGGCATCCGAAGTGGTTTGGGATCGGGCAGAATGCCTTTCCCTTTAATTTCTTCATAAATGGTTGCAGCTCCGGCTGAATAGACAGTCTGATAACCGGATTTCACATCGGTAGCATATTGTTTCCGAGCTGCTCTAATTTCGGGATCATTGGCATCTCCTCGAGGGTACCCCCTAAATTGAGCCTTGTTTTGTTTGTCGAACAATTTGTTTTTCTTTTTCTCGTCGATACCCGACTTAGGTGACTTCAGGTTAAAATTAAAATCAGGGACCGACATAGCTTCCTCGGCAATAATGTGCTGTTGAGCTCGGGCAAGAAATTCCTGGAAGGTGTTTGGCTTATTCTGACACAATGTCCAGCGAAAAATCGAGTTCGGTTTCAGCCCGGCGATAGCCATAACAAGCAAGGTTTCAGGATGACACGACTCCATATTCTGAACTCGATCGTTAAATCGAGCGATGTAGTCCTTGAAGCTTTCATCATCTTTTTTAGTTACGTTTGTAAGGGATTCTTTTGGAAATAAACACACTTGGGCCCCGATGAAATGAGATCGGAAAGCCGACCTCAGCTGTTGCCACTTCCAAATAGAATGAGGAGGAAGAGAATGGTACCATTTTTGAGTCCGAGGTCCCAACGTAAGAGAAAACATGCGACACCGAAGTGCGTCTGAGGCCCAATTAGATCCTCCACGAAGTATAATGACCGAGGTGTGAGTCGGGGTCTGAAGTCCCATCGTATAACCCAATTTGAGGAACTTTAACTTTTCTGGGTACAGGTTCCGTAGTGAGCTCTGGCGTGAGAGGGGAGTCGGCTTCCAGATATACTTTTGCCGTGGTCGAGGTCCGCCGAGGGGGGTCTTCGGGCATCCTTTGCCGACTTTCCATCTCGACGATTCTTCGTCGTAATGTTTCGAGTTCGGAAGATTCTTGGCGAGCTCGATTTCTCTCAATATGCTGACGAAGGTGAGTTTGTGCCGGATTAGAGGGGATTCGGTGTTGCGCATGAGGCGGTGACCGCCGTGAATGTCCAGACTGACTTTCGGCGGTTTCTTCATGAGGAAGTACGAGGGGATTGCGTCCAATGTCAGCGTGACGTGTAGTTTGTTCTGGGTGCGACTGCGATGTTCGACTGCGAGGTTGAGACGTGGCGTGAGAAGTAGTTCTGCCACCGTCTCGTCGCACTGGTGGAATCTGTGGATTAGCAGGGGTTGTTGGTATAATGAATTGTCCTGGTGCAGTCGTTGATGTTCCAGGGATTGTTTGAGCCATCAGGGCGGCGAACCCACGTGCAAACTCCAGATTTTGGAACAGGACAGTGTAATCTGGTATATTAGGGGCTGCTACTTGTCATCTGGCGGATTGAGCAGCACTACGACTGTGGCCATCTCGTGACGTATGACCACGATGATCTGAATGAGACATGATTGATATGACTGACGTGGATCACTAAACAAGAATCGGAGATTAACCTCAAATCACTTATGAGGCCCTCATTCTAGCGCCAAACTGTTGTTATGCGATTCTTAACAACGATCTAATGCAGTTTTTATTTCATGATGTTGAATGATTCGAGCGTAAAATATGGATAAAATACACAACACTGGCCTCGGTCCGAGGTGAACCGAGGTGAAAAGCTTCTGAGAGCTGTTTTCGTGTTTCACTATAAAAGAGTTAGGTTTGGGAAGAAAGATTCGATCCCGTACAAGTAGTATCAGTTCACTATTTATAGTAACTTTTTTGATACGTATATCGGGATCTGTGTATTGCTTTTTCCATAAAGTTACTTTTTGATGGGCGGCAGGCTTAGGGGGGCCCCCACATGAATGATAACAGATCTCGTAAATCGTGAGAGGGGTATGTAGGCGCCTTGTCACCTGCTTAGGAGGTGACGACCTCGGTTCGTGTTGACCTCGGTTTGGAATGACCTCGGCGGATAATGGTCACTTTGATCTTTTGTGGCTATACCGGTTCGTCGTGCGAGATGGGGTGACTTCAGGTCACGTCGGTTTTGTAGTTAAATTTGCTTAAGATGCTGTTCAAGACCCTTAATTGTGCTTTACCGAGTCGGATGATAACAATTATCTCAGGCTCCTCACCCTCCTTGTCTTTACCCATATCGGTGTCTTGCCTCTTCTTCATCCTCTCGGCCACATGAGATACACTTGATCTCTTCCGACGATGAATCAATCCTAAATCGAGCTCTTCGGTCACTTCTTGTGATACTTCAGTTTCGGCAATGGGCTCGTTTACCGACATAACAGCTTGCTCTATTGGCTCATTGACGACATTCTCAATGATGGCTGTCTGGCTTTCAATATTGACAGGCTCACTCTGTATCGCCGGAGTTGGTTCATCCCTTGTCATTGACGGTTCACCGATGTAACACCCCGCTTTTCCTTAAATATCAGAGTGCATTTTTCGCAAATTCTTTTCTAAAGTTTACATTTTATTTTGCGAAACATATCTCGGGATGCTACATAAACTATTTCTTTTCTAAAAATCCGTTGTCCTTACTTATTTAAAACTATTGTGAAAAACGGATTATCTTTTAATCAACTGAGCATGTGCTGTTGTATAAAAATCCGACCAAAAGGTTCAGATCTTAGTCTGGAAAATGACACGCTAGTTTGAAAGTCTGAAAACATCAGCGGAAGTAAAAACGTGGCAAATAATATACATATCATAAGTCTGCAAAAGCATACATATATATGTATTGCACCAGCGACCACCAG